AATATTAGACCTTTTGGCAAATACATACATATCACAAGGTGGCGGGAAAGCATGAAACGAAAGCGACAATGTGAGCTAGAAGAATATGGTATGCGCCCAAAAATCGGTTTCTTTTGAGGTCCAAAAATCTGGGCTTATCAAGACCCACTGAAATCACGGGATTATTTTTATTTTTATTTTAGTACGACATCAATCCGCTCTCTCTCTTTGTTTACACGTGACTTTAGTCTGGTTTGACAATCTACATTGAATAAGATTCTATCCAAAGAAGTGTGCCATGTGTGCGTGATTATACATTAGAGTCTACCTAGTAACTGGTTGCGGGAATTTGAAATGCAAACGAATCGTTATTATACCGTTTAGATAAACCAAAAGTGATATTTTGCAGCATAACCAACAGATTTCTTATTCGTCGCCCCCTCGTGTTTGTTTTATATACACCCAGATTGTACACGTGATATCATGTAATTAAGTACCTATCTGATTAAAGTCAACTGACTCGGCGACGAGGAATTTGCATACAGATCTTGTGCGGCACACATCGGATTGCTGGGGTATACACAGTGGGCATGTATTTCAGTGACCTGAAAAAAAACAACTAAAGGCCAAATATGCAAAACCACGAAGTCACGAGACTAGGCAGTTTGGCATGGTCGATTGTCATGGTAGTAATAGTAGTAGTTGCAGTAGGCACGTGTGAACAGCTCTGACATACACATTTAGGAGATGATTAACGTTTGCATTCCTTTCCAAATTTGAAAAACCAGATCTGCTATCATTTTGGTGAGAGTCTAGAAGATGAAAATGATTACTACACCCTAGTTCCATCTACAACAACAACAGGAGAAATAAGTGCATACAATCCATATCGGATTGGTCAGTGGTAATTGAGCAGGGAGGCTGATTCGGAATCACTGGGGGGGGGGTCCGATTTGGCTTGGTTCAGTCTTTCTATGTCTATATGGACGCATATGACAGGGTGAGATCACGTGTCGTCCGTCCACCTGATAGGGGAAATACTAGACTAGTAGCAGTCATGGACAATTCGACCCGCGCTCCAGGATTCGCACTTTACTGATACCTAAAATATTTGCATAATTTAGCTGATAATCCAACTCAGATAAGATCTGGCATCGCTCGAAACATCAATTAAAACTATGTTCAAACCACAGATTGAGCAGAAGGTAGGATTACTCCAGAGAAGAAAAACTCGATGAGTCAATCAATCAACAACACCAGGTGGCAACGGGTATGAATCCAAGTGAGCAAATCACCTAGATGCCAGAAATGAGAGAAAAGAGACAGCATAATTCATAGTACAACGAGGGAAGGGATTATTAAATTGTGGTGAAGAGCACTCGCTATCTCCGAGTTCCATATTTTACCGGTGAGCGCAGACGGGAAACCACCATATAAAATACTCTGTTTGGTTCGGTAGGAACGAGGTATTGAGACGGAAGACCAGTGATTATTTATAACTGACGTGAAAACAAAAATGGGCAAATTGAATAATTTATGTACTCTTCAGTGTGAAAATTCAACTACGATATGTCGCGAAAACAGCACTCCAAGGACCAACAGAAGACCCCGGGTTATCCATATTCGTTTGAATGTCCGAACTCACGCAACAGCTCTCATTCGGACAAGGTGTCTGCGACAGACTTCTCCTTGTGAATTCGTGAGTTCTAACCAACAGAGAACACGATCGAACCAGTGAAGACGACGTCGTTAGAGAAACAACCATGGTCTCTCCTGTTTATCCTTGCAACGTTGACGGGCGGCGGAGTTTGAAACACGGTGATACCACTTAAGTGTAAACACATGTAAGGGGACGTCGTTCAAGCATTCCAATATTTTTATCATCTACTATTAGTGGCCACGTTTCGCAATCTGAAAGTTGGTCGTTGGTATTTATAGCGACATTCTAGGTTTGGATTTACTGTACTCTTGAAGACCTGGTCGATACAACTTTCCCCAAAGTGGAAGACCGCACGGTTGTGGACATATTCACATTCAGTAACAAAGCGGCAAAGCAGGATAGTTGTGAAAACCTTAGCTACCATATCCGGGAAGCTGATAACCGTATAGTTCGCGCAGAGAGTCTATTCGCCCCAATTGGTATAAGCAATAGTAAGGATTTCGTCCAGTCTAACAGAAAAATTCGGTGNGTCAGATACGACGGAATAGTGTGGCCAATGGATTAACCAGAATTAGCAGACTTTAGTCATTTCAGACGGCATGTCGTTTTGATGAGAAAACCTGTTGTTTTTCCTCGCCATCTGGGGCGAAAACGATTTACGATCTGTTAGGTGGATCCAGATCGATTTGATATTGCTCAATAACACCCGGTAACACTAGACTGTTGGGAAGGGGGCGGGAGCGGTGGAACAATTGGTTGCCGTGATGGAACCATCTTTTAGTTTTTGTTCAGATAGTTGTTTAGCAGATTGCAGTTTTACACTGAAACGGTGAAAAGTTCAGAATCCTCGGTGGGATTTGTATCCACGCATGGACGCCGTTTACGCTTTTGTACAGCGCACGCTCTACCAGCTGAACTACGAGGCCACACCGATAGCACTGATCCGTTCACATTCGAATCACCCATTCAGATTCTAGAGGCAGATGAAATCCATCAGGTAACATGTAAGCTGACTGTCATGGCTATTTCTATCCTCGATGCCGATGTCGACCTAGCGCAGGAGGTTGCGGAAAATTGATATGAGTTGTGGAGTCTCGCATCCCCCACGGCGGTTGAGATCCACTGCTTTTTTGTATCGAGATGTTTTACNTGTTTTACCCAGGTTGCCCAGTGGTTTCCGGAGTCGATGATTTTAACTCACCACCGACGGGTTTCGCGGTCAATTTGGAAGAGATAGCGTTTAAGAAAACTTGAAAATTGGTTGGAAATGCTATCTCACAAACATTCGCTTTACTCGTAGACCGGATTTCTGTCGCGTTAGAAGATGAATCTTGAAACCAACATGTGCCAGGGTGGTCAATGCCACAAGCGTTTCCCGTTACGGCGCTGCGGTACGCTCAATAGTTTAGACCACCGAAATCCGAAATCAATATGTCCACTATTTGGTGCACCGTCCAGTCGTTATAAGAATACCAATTTAGTAAGTGATTTTGGGTATCGGAATTGCGTCCTCGTGATGGGAAGACAATTGGAATCTGCAAAAGTGACCAAGCGGTCACCTCCTCGTATGCTGTGCATACTCCTCTGCGGGGCTCGTGAAGGTATCAGTCCCTTGAATACAACAGAATTTCACGCCTGGGGTTCGACTAACTGAATTTGGGGGTGTATAGATGAATTGGTCTTCTATGTTCACATCAGCATACGACATTAGGGCTTAAACTGCAATGTCACGGCAAACGGAGTAACTTAAAAAGGGATAGAGCGATTCTCGGTTAAACTAACATAGTAGTTGTCTGCTCATTGCAATTGCAACTTCACTGAGCTCATAGTTGACTAATAACCCCNCCCCCCCCCCCCATTATGTATCCGGTAAGGTGCGTTGGCATGAGGTACTTAGACAGGTCGACTGCCGGAGTTAGGTTCGCGTACCTCAAGCTTTCTCGGGACTCTGTGGTCGTGGAGCGTGCGCATAGTGATGCATTGACTGTTTGTGTCCAAAAGAGATCTCACGTCCCAATAAACCATACACACACTTCCGACCCAGTGTTCAGGTTCGGTGTTAGGGTCACTCTGGTCACTAGGATAGTACGGAGAGCAACGCTTACCGCGGAGGAATGATGCGACTGTAATAAGGCCTGTTTGTTGAAATTCTGTCCGTGAAAAGCATAAAACATCGTAGTGTATGGTGAAAACACAAAACGTTATTGTCCCAATGGAATCGATTTTTAAACTAATCTTTCGATGTTACGTCGAAGAAGCGGAATAGATGTCCTTCAAGAAAGGAGCTATCGACGTAAGAAATTCGTCTCTCGCATGTCCGTTCACAAAGAGGACGAAGTGATAAACTCAATGTTAACTTAGAACCAACCTGATTGGGGGTACAGATTTGAGAAAATGGCTAAAATTAGCATGGTAGACTCTGATCAGATGTCAAATGCATCCTAACCGAGGGGTTATCACATTCACCAAGCTTGGTTACATTTGGCAAAAACCATAAGCAAATGATGAAGACCGATCGAACAACCATGTCCCAAAAAGTTCACCAATAATCAGCATCCTGTTATGGTTCTTCGGAAAAGACCGATCTCTTCGACTCATTGTCTGGCACTTGAGTACGAACACGTACACATTCAAGCTGAATTGCGTAGAGTAAGAATATGAAATCGATAGTCAATTTGTCGCAGTTCCGATTTCTAGTGTGCGTATGCGTCGATGTCTGGATGTTTGTGTGCATGTACTATGTGCGTCAATAACATGAACCACGCTGAAAAGATAAGCTACAACGACAACAATAACAACAACAAAGAGACACCGCCCCACAGTGCGACTCAGCACACGCTGTCTATGTGTCCCACGTCGAGATTCTATCTGGTCATTCAGGCCATGGATAGCGAATGTTGTCATTACTAAAAGGTGAGTTAATGGTTATTGGTTGTAAAAACTGAAACTGAAAAAGGCGAGTTATCAAAACCTGACCTGCCACTTGATATAAATAAAAAGGGAAAAATGGTCCCCGTAACGGACAAGATGATTTATTATGATATCAAGAAGAGGCATAACAACCACACACCCAGACTTTCTTGGTCGGGGTAGTGATCACCGGCTCGATTGGGTAGCAAAGTGTATTGAGCACCTCGAACCTTTGACCGCGTTCAAAGGGCGTATGGCCCAAGGCTCCGGTTGTGAACTCCCTGAGAAAATTCACTTGGCTTATGCAACCTAGCAGTATCACGCCCTGGAGCATATCATGGATCCTCCTCTTTTTATAAAGATTAATGTACCGCAACTTGTTTGGCGAATGTGATATATACATATTAGCGTGAAACCAAAGGTTCATACATGAAATTCTCAGAATTTGAATTCAGAAACACTTACATGGAACAACACGTTGATACACATTTTCGCGGATTTTCTCTTGAAGTGAATACTCCGGTGAGTTTAGAGGGAATGCGGCCGCGAGGAAACTGGATAACATAGTACTTCCCGTGGCCAAAGCTTGCGGAGGACTTAGACGAATACGGAGTCGGCGGGGTGTGGACGCGGCACCAACGGGAATACGCGTGAGTGTGTCACACAGTTCCACCGCATCACGTCGTGTGTAGCCCGAAATTTCATACTCGTTCAGAGCGAGAATAATATCGCCTGGTTGGATTTGACGTGGACTACCAGTGTTGCGCTCTGCCGAGTTACCCGCACTGATGTGATGCTGTATCAGACGTGTATGATCTAGTTGACTGCCAATCACACAAAACATTCCAGCATCTGAACCACCGTCAATGGGTAGGGATAAACTGGTGTCCACGCTGGGTGCCGATACGACCACTTCGTAACACTGTTCCAACCACGAACAAGATTGTGTCGCATGCTCTCGATGTGTCGCTTTTTGTAAAGGAGAGACGAAATTAGCACCGAATCGATTGTTCTGCACGGTGGACAGTGATCCAGTCCCACAGGGGCTACTCACCTTCATGATGCATCGAAAGTGGTCAAATGGAGCTGTAAGATAAGATGTTCATTATACGAGTCAATGTGCAAGAAGCCACGAGGGAATAAGAGAACAATGTTATACGGTGAAAAGTTTGGAAACAAACTCTACGAATGGGTGTGCATGGTCAGACTGGTGAATTCTCAACATGCAATCTCTGTACCGCGATAGGCAAAGATCATCAAAACAGTAATCCCGAGGTCAAGTGTTCAAATCCCGTTATCAGCGTCCAGTTACCTGACTTGATGTAGATAAACCAAATGAATTAGGTAGGAAACTTGTTCATTTATGTATCAATTAGTTGGGAACTCTTGGACAGTTTCCTGGGTTCCAGGGCCTCGATGACTAATCGCCGGGACACGACAGCAGCCTTTTTTTACACCCAAGTGTGATGAACAGCAGACGGGGCGAACCCCATAGTCACGAGGATCTGCTGTTCAGTGGTGGAAACCGGCAACCTGAGTCCCAGGACTTGAAGTGGAGGACCACATAAGGCCCCGATAGGTTAGCTGTGGTAATCACGAACGAAAGTATAGACGAACACATTTTCCAGCGGTTTCATTAACGAGTCGTCAAAATCACATTCCATTCTTGTCTGAACCGTAGCGGGTGGCACACTCTTTAGTAAACTTGAATAACTACCTTGTTGTGCGACCTATGTAAGTAGCCCAACAGGTATACTTGAAGTGCTGAAGGATGATTGAGGCGGCCAAGATAATCAACTTTTCACTGTTAGAGCATTCGATGTCAAGTAATACCAAGAACACGCATTGAACGTAATCCCCACTACAGCAGCCGGAACTATGTCGGCTGCTCCTGGTATTTTGACACCAACTCCATTTGAAACTGTCTAATTCATAAACAGATAATGCCGCAGAGGAACCACATTCTATCAATGATGATTGATTCCAAGTTCCGTTTTGTTAGGATTCAGTAGGCCCAAGTAAGTTCCTGGTCAGTTTCAGTTTGAAAAACGATTAACCTTGAGCCGTCGTACGCCGATTTTGGTCGATCAATGAACAAAAGAACAAATGGAAAATGTAAACTGCTAACAGCATTGCCAAGATGAAGATACAAAATGCAGGTAAACCAGATGTGCCTGGAAAGTGAGGCGATGTACGAGCGCCGTGGGTTGCGAAGCTAAGCTATTTCATGCGATGGAAGTGTTTGTGATAACCAACAAACAGCACTGCACAGTTGTTTCGTCCTGTTTGGAACTCGTCAGCAGTGCGTACTTTTTGTGTCCCTGTCAGGACTCGAACATCATCAACAGTCATCGGCATCATCATCGTACAGCGAGATGATGATGATGACTGGAGCCTGAGAAAAGCCGAATGGGCTAATCCAACCATTCAATATCTAAATTGATTGAGCTATTCGCACAAGGTGATAACCGTCGACCGTGTAGCTCAAGGGTAAGGATTTGAAGTCCCAGTTCGACGAATCGCGGTTGCAATCCTGACACGGACACAAAAAGTACGCACTGCTGACGAGTCCTACACAGGACGAGACAGCTGTCCAGTGCTGTTTGTTGGTTATCACAAACATTTTCATTGCATGTAAATGCATACAAACAGTGGGGAATTACCGATCTGCCAAGGAGTAAAACCCACAACCAACATCATCAACAGTGCCCGGTGCCTGTGAAAAACCGAATGGGCTAATTCAAAAATTCACCATCTAATCCACTTCACAATGGAAGGAAAACTTGATTTTATTTTCCAAATATTCCTGAAAAATCAACGGAAAATGGATTTGAACCAACCACTATTGCTATTGCTGTTTCGTCGCTGTCGCTTCATTGGAGGAAACCGAGATAAGTGGCAGGATATAGTACTCTGATCGGTCGGCGCTTTTGTGGTAAATCAAGGTTGTATAGCTTTCTAGAGTTTCTGACATACGCTATTACTGTTGCAACTGTTTTCAGGTGGGCTGGGATTGGATCTATTTTGGGAGTGGGAGAAGAAGGTGAACTTAGGTCAACACACGGAGTGCATAATCGAACTCTGTACATACCGTCTCACGCGTTCTGATCTGATAAGAAATGACAACAAGATCACCACTGCTGTCAGTTCGCTACCACATACTTTAATGTTTTCAACCGACCAGTTACGGGGCCTTTCTGACCCAAACCTGAAAGGTGAGACCTAATGGCTCTGTGCATTTCTGCATGCCTCGTCTCCACGTCATCTGTTGACCTCCACGTGGTTTCCTCCAGCTCGGATTAGCCAAGGCGAATAAAGTGCGGTGCGGCAGACGATGGCTGGGCATGCGCAATACGTACCCTAGCCAACGAAGTCTACTAATCTTAATTCGTTTTGCTAGCACACTTATCTCTGATAGACTCCCAAACACACGAAGGCTTATCTCTAGATTGCTAACCTGTTAGCGTCACCCCACGTGGGCGTATCAGTCGGAAACGTCTTTGACTCTTCCCTGATGCAGCTGCTTTCCATTTCACTAGCTACTGTTGCCCACTAGTTCTCACGGTCCTCCTTGAGGCTCTTCGTAAGCTGACGCTGCAGATGCCACCTTACTTTTTTTAATCCCTGCAGTTCGAGATTTGTCGATCAGGGCTACTGGCTCATCAGATATCCAATGCCTCCAACGGATTTGAGGCTCAGATTCACAAGCAACATTCGCTGCGGAATGCATTCAGTT